AATAAATATTTTCGAAAGTTACAAACTAACTGGCATGGCAGGTATGTGTTTATTAAAGCACATCCCAGGGACAGGAAATTCAATTTACAGGGCTTTAAGTTAAAAAAAAAAAAAGAAAACACGAAAAAGTATATTGGGATACCTACAGAGAAGCAGCTAAACAAGAAATGAAGCAATAACGACATAAAACCATTCTAAACAGAGCAGTCTAAGAGGGTTTTTAATATTATTTTAAAATGAAATGCGGGTTGCAGTATTTTCACAATCTCATGTTTGCTGCCGATAAATGGAGTGCAAGAAAGTAATTCTTTTTCTCCTTATTCATTTCTGGTTTTGAAGTTACATATCAGATTTGAACTAGAATATTTCAGTCTTTATTTATACAATGACCACAAATCTGTAATGTGTTTTTTTGTTGTTGTTGTTTTTAAAATATATATTTATCTATTTTTTTGTACAAGGCTATTTTGTGATGTCTAAACTAGCAGAAGGATTTTGCCTCTGAAAGCCAGTGTCAGGATATTAGAACAGGGCTGATGGGCCCAACTCATCTCATTTTTGTGAGGATGTTGGCTGCACCTCAACTGCAATCTGTAAAGAAACCATTGCAGTTATTAATTTAACTTAAAATAAATGTACAGATTAGTGTTTTTGGGAGATCCTTCTGAGACATTAATTTAGCCTGGAATTGTTCTTCAGAAAGAAATGATAGAAACTGTCTTTATGTTGTTAAAGATAGGCTCTGTGTGTCTACACCTTGAAGCTTTATCTCTCCGGTTCTTTTCCCTTAAAAGAGATCACTCGGGAAAAACTCTTTAAAAAACACTTCATAATTTATATGTATTAAATAATAATGAGGCATGACAAAAGATCCTGATAGAAATTGTAATCTTACTCAGATCAGAGAAGTTTCTTAGAATTACAGAAGGCAGCTGCTCACCTCTGGGCTCACCTCTCAGGAAGTGGCCCCAATACACATTAGCAGATAATTAGACATCCTCCAGCCTTAAAATATTACACTTTGTTCTTAGCTGAAGAATGCTGCTCTCATTCCACTTCCAAATCTTTGCCACATACAGAATGAAGATTATAACTTTATATCCGGACAGAGGAACTGTCTTAATTAGATTAAAACATCAGTCTTGACACAAAACGGGCAGCCAATACCAAGGTGTAATAAACCCACGCATCTTCAATGATAATTAAGTCCATCTTAAGGTTCTGTTTAACTCACCCAAGAAACTAAACATAATTTAAACAAGTAAATGTTGTTTGATTTTATATTTCGCTATAACTTCCATATATGATATAGAACCGCTCTCTTAGGCCACCTGTCAGTCTTTACCTTTGATTATTAATTGCAATTAACCGAGAAAACTCAAATGTTTGTTTTATTTTGAAAGAATAACACTTTGACCGGAAGTTCAGCCTTTATTCACTTCCGCCAAACTGACACCGGTCTGTAGGTTCTGTCCTGGGTCGAGCTATTTTTCCTGGATTCTTACTAAAATAACCAACAATGAGGCCGTCACTTTTGCTGAAGGCAGAGCTGATTTCACAGAAATCGACTATTTACTGAGGTAATAAATGTGCTTTTATAACCAGAGTTGTTGCGATCTACGTGGGAAGACGGCTAGCAGCTAAAGTGATGTTTCAGTAGGTTTTATTTCCCAGAGCAGACAAAGACCAAGGCTTCAAAAACATTAATCATATATGATTTTAGCTCACAGAGGGGGTTATTCTATCCGCTTGGACAGTAGCTCATATTGCTCCAATTTGTAAGCCTGGTAAGGATCCTTGTCAAGTGAAAATCTACAGACCAGCAGTGATGGTGAACCAGAATATGGAAGACCAATCCTGCCATAAAAAAAAAAAAAAAAAAATCTGAAAGAAATGAAAAGTAGAATAGAAAAGGCCTTTATTGTCCCACAATGGGGACATTCTGGTGTTTACAGCAGCACAAAAATTATAGGGGGGACAAAAATGTTCACACAAACATGGACCTTAGAAAACTATTAGTATAACATAATAGTGAAGAGTTAAAAGATGAACAACAAAATACTGCACTGTTTTTTAAATATATGAAAACTGTGCACCTGGACAATAAATAACCAATATACAGCTATGGATATTTTTACAGTAATGGATATTTGAAAATAGCAGCAACATCAGAGATGTGCAAAATGACAGCAGCAGGTTATTTAACTGACTACCTGTACAAAATCAGCATTAATGTAGCATCTTATTGAGGTTGTTGGGAACAGTGGTGGTTATAAAGTATTACAGCTGCTGGGAGGAAGGATCTGATTCTTTGCTAACTTATGTAGTTTATAAACAGCAGCAAATGTAGCCCATTATATGAGCGGGTCTTCACCTCTGGAGGGCAATGGCTGTGACATATATGTTTGTATTCCCACTGTATTATCTGTTTTTGTGATTTGTGTTTTTAAGGTTGCACCTACAACAGAATGAATACATTAATAAACAAGAGCATTCGGAGAGCGCAGAGCTACACCATGCAGCAAAATTTCCCCCCATCTTGTGACTTACACCTCTAGCTAAAACTTGCACATGATCTGGATTGTTACCATTTTTTTTTTTTAACTGCACTAGTGGCTCATTTTTTATGGACAGCAGGCTGACAGGAAAGGGGGTATGAGACAGTGTAAGAGACCCGGCTCGTGTGAGCTAACTACTGTGTCACCAAACCACGCCCTGATCACTACCAATTTTAATCAATTGCTTGTTGGCATCAATTCAGTTTATTTCTATAGCACCAATTCACAACACACGTCATCTCAAGGCACTTTACAGTTCACCAGATCATACAGTCCAATTGATTCATAGTTTTCTATCTAAGGAAAACCAGTTGATTGCATCGACTCATTGACTCAAAGGCAATCCCTCACAGTGTGAATGCTTGTAGCGAAAGTGGAGAGGAAAAACTCCCTTTTAACAGGAAGAAAGCTCCAGCAGAACCAGACTAAGTGAGAGCGGCCATCTGCTGGGGTTCAAGGAGACAGAAGCAGAGATACAAAAGGCAACTGTAAAAGAAACATACCTGATTTCCAGCTCACCACATTCAACCAACCGCTGGGTGGAAGTTAAATACATAACTCATTCAGATAAAAGACTTTCTTGTTGCTCCGTGATGCGTTGCAGAAATTAAAGTTAGGCTTAAAAAAAGAAGATAATTTTATGTAACTCTACTGGAAGTATGAGATTAATAATTACTGTAACTCATCTTCACATTCCTGCAGCTGCTGTGCAACTGCTGCATTTCCTCAAGGCTTAAATAAACAAAATAGTCAGCATCCATCCATCCATCCATCCGTCCATCCATCCATCCATCCATCCATCCATCCATCCATCCATCCATCCATCCATCCATCAATCCATCCATCTATGTTTCCATCTGTCATCCATCCATCCATCCATCCATCCATCCATCCATCCATCCATCCATCCATCCATCCAACCATCCAACCATCCAACTATCTGTCATCCATCCATCCATCCATCCATCCATCCATCCATCCATCCATCCATCCATCCATCCATCCATCCATCCATCCATCCATCCATCCAGTTCTAACTTTTTATCTTTATCTTTAATCAGGTCAGGGTAATTTGATGGTGCCCAGCAGTCAGTATGGATGAAGAAACCCTGGAGGCTGCGATCGCCGCCTACGGTGCTCAGCTGCAGCAGGTGGAGGTGGCCCTGTCGGCAGAGCTGGATCCAAGCCAGATGCCGGACCTGCTCAAACTAAAGGAAGACCTTCAGCAGCTGATAGAGCTCACAGAAGCCAGTCTGGTGTCTGTAAAAAAGAGTCGGCTTCTGGCCAGTTTAGAGGACGGCAGCGACCTGCTGGTGAACCCCTCAGAGGTAGCAGCTGACAGCAGCGGGGCCAATGAGAGTCTGAGCGCAGAGTTTGCTGCTTTTTACTCCGAACTGGGAGAGTGTTCAGGTAGCAGCTCTGACACCAGAGAGAAGGATGATGGAGTAGAAGGTAGAGGGGGGGATTGTGAGGAGGAGGATGAAGAGGGTGAAGATGAGCTAAGTGGTACCAAAGTAAGAGCCCCCTACAGGACGTCGTGGGGGACGCTGGAATATCACAACGCCATGGTGGTGGGGGCGGAGCCGCCAGACGGAGTTGAGGCACAGGTTAGGGTGTTCTACGTCTACCCCACCCAGAAATCCATGAAACCGTGCCCGTTCTACCTGGAGGACAAGTGTCGCTTTCAGGAAAACTGCAGGTAATTTCTTAAACTGTTTATGATTCTGTTTATGATTTTATTCAGTAAAGATCTGTAATTTTTTTCCAAAAGAATTCCTGTCTCTCTTAACAGTTTCTGAATTTCTCACTTGGTCACCTTGCCATTACCCTGCTCCTTAGATCTTTAACGGTACAGCTACATGGACTCTGTTTTACCTGCCAAAAACACACTATCAGGGTTAGAACTAATTTTGAGTCCAGCTGTAGATACATGCCATGTCTGACTTCCTGTCCCCCCCCTGGTAGAAAATGGTGGTGGGCGTATCATGCTGTCTCCACCTCAGATAGAGTTAAATACACGCTGACCCTGGAACAAATCCTGCTGAAAGGCCGCAGAAGGATTGGGGGATGAATACATGTAGATATTTGGTCTGTTACTTAAATAAAAGCTCTGGACGTTTGCAGTTGTTGAATTTAATTTCCACAGCACTGCATGTAAATGTGGTTTTAGCCAAGAGCTTCAGTCAGAGTCGTTTGTTTGTCTGTATCTCTGATTTCCCTGCATTTCAAAGTATTTTCTGATCCCTGCAGGTTTTCTCACGGGGAGGTGGTGTTTGTGTCGGAGCTCAGAGCGTTCCTGGAGTCAGACCTCAGTAATCTTGAAGAGGGTTCTGCCTGCTTGGCTCGGCATGAGGACGGGATCTGGTACCCGGCCAAGATAAAAGGTAATTATTGGTGAAGTGACGATACGTCTTAGGGGGAATAAAACAGTAGGGGGTGTGTCTGATTCATGATGCTTTCTCTCCTGTTAGACATCGACAGCGGTTTCTACACGGTAAAGTTCGACTCGCTGCTGATGAAAGATGCCGTAGTCGAGGCTGACGGGATTATCCCACCTCTGAGGGAAGACGACCCGCTCTCCTCCGACTCGGATTCGGATGAAGCCGGAGATGCAGATTCATTGGGATACGCAAAAGGTCTAAAAATTATGCTCAAAACAAACAATATTACTAGAATTCACTGTGGTAAAATATAAACTGCAATACATCTTTTAGATTTCACTTGTCAATGAAATTTATCTTGTTTTTTTTTGTAACAGTTCTGGACTCCGGCCCAGAATCTACTGTTACAGTAAACAGTGCCGACTTTGGTGGCTGGGAGGCGCATACCAAAGGCATCGGATCCAAGCTTATGCTGAAAATGGGCTACGAATACGGAAAAGGTGAGAAAGTTTTATTCATTCTACATTAAGAACATTTAACTTCCATCAGTTATTTATTTTTAGAAGGTATTTGCAGCCGAAATGCCGGTTAGTTCATTAAGTTCAGTTCTATGAGAAGGTATTTCTTTCCCCTTACAGTTTTCCTGTATTCATTCTCCAACAGTAAAATCATTATTCATATTTACAATTGTTTTTTTTTTATTATTTGATGGAAAATCTATGTATTTAATTGTTCAGGTAGCATGTATCTGTTGAAAAGGGCTGTAGGAGATCTTGGAAAAACGGTTCCAACAAGGTATATTTTTGAACATACACAACCATGCCTCTCCCTTCATGATCACCCCTCGAAACCACGCCTTCAAAACACATGAACTAGAGCAGCAATTGCAGCGCTGATGATGCAAATCTCTAAATTAACTTAAAATGACGAAATCTGCCAGCAAAACATGATCGCTTTTATTATCCTGGTGCCTGCAGTTTGGATTACGTACGTGAAAAACGCCTTTCAGCCGCTGTGGCACACCGCAAGAAGGAGACCGGGCCAGAGGCTGCTGTTGAATGCTATTCCTAGTGACAGCGCCCTGCCGGTGTACAGGGGTCTGAGCAGCTCCGACAGAAATAATACTCTAAGGCAGGATGGTAATCTGGATGAACTGACTGCACTGACCATGTTTTCAGATGGACTTTCTCACTTCAAAGTAGATTTAAACTACTTTTTACCCACTGATCACAGCACATATAGCTGCCACTGTTACAGGCAAAGAAAGGATAGAGTAGCTCCTCCCAATGCGCATCAGACTCACTTTTTCCACCGCGCAGCTGGAGCAGCAACCGGGATTATGGTCGACTACAGTGCAGCACGTCGTCGAAACAGGGAGCCAGTGGTAGACAGAGCAACCGAACCTGACTCGGTAACGGTAGCCTGGACAACATTTAGGGTTAGAGATAAAAATAAGACGTTAGTCTTTGTTTGCAGAGAACATGATCCTGCTATACCAATCTAAAATGAGTTTCAATTACATCCTTCTGAAGGAGTAGACTGAGGCTGTAGTCATTATATAAAAAACACAAAATGCCCAGAGAAACCAACAACACACGGGCGATTTATTTATCCCTAGAACCATGAACGATATTAAAAACATCTGGTGAAATAGATCTGGGATCTTAGTGGTTCAAACTCAATTTTTAAGACAAAAGGAAAGTTTCCTTTTGTGTCCTCTGGCAATCAAGGTCCAGAACCCACGCTGCTTAAGGTCCAGTGTCCTCTGGTGTTGGTCTACTGAACTTCCTGAAGTCCACAGTCAAGGGAAGCCATAAGGCAGGACATTTTAGATCCCTGAACATGACCTGGCCCAAACTACAAAAGTTAGCATGAGCTGCTAGCATGTGGTAGTGGCCTTGATTGGCCAACATCTCTCCTGATATGAACTTCATAGAGAATCTGCAGTATTCTGAAGAGATAACAATGATGCTATCAGAGCAAATTTTAATTGCAAAGAGACCAACAAGCATTTAAAAAGCCTGACATTTCTGTTTAAAATGTCATTTTTTTTCTTATCTAATATTCTATGTTACTTTTTCTGTAAGCTAAAATCCTTAAAACTGCAAAAGATAAAAGCTGAAATATTGGATTATGTAATGAATATATAAAACATATGAATTTCACCTTCTGAAATGAGTTTATTAAATGTTTTTCAAAAAATGTCAAACTAATGGAGCTTTGGTTGTCTATCACATAAGGAGACAAACTGATTAAAAACAGGAGGTTTCTAAGACCAAACCACTTTAATATAGTAAACAATAAAAAACAGCATATTTTAAAGGGATTGTTTGTTCATGCATTGATGTGCCAATGTTTTTTTCTTTTCTAAATTAATGTACTCCAGTATAAACATATATAATAGATTGGGGGGAAAAAACTAAATCATTAACATTTGAGCTTTGAGTGGAATGAGATGTTTTCTTCAGTGATTTGTTCGTCTCTTAAGGTCTTGGGAAGATGCAGGAGGGTCGAGTGGAACCAGTGATGGCCGTGCTCCTGCCGAAGGGGAAGTCTCTGGACGAGTGTGCAGAGATGACACAGAGGCGCACCCGAAGCAGCGCTGCTAAAGATGGCACACAGACTGCCCGGCCAAAGCGCCGCAGAAAACCTAAAGTCTCCACCGCAGGGCGGCGTACAGTCTTTGACTTTTTAAATCACAAGCTGGGAGACAAGGGCTCCAATCCTGCTGAGGGGGGCTCGACTGTGCCGTCAGGAGCGACCGGCGTGGAGGCTTACAGAGCGGGCAAGAGCGCCAAGAAGAGTCTGAATGTGAAGCTCTTCCAGGCTGCAGAGCGGGTGGCCCAAACCGAGAGAGAGATCCAGAAGCTGAGCGAGACGCTGGGCAGACAGACGGGCAGGTCAGTACGGAACAAGGAGCCAGTTTGATACCGAGCAGACTTCTCTAAAACCCTGAAATGATCATTGATATGAAAGCATGAGACTTTCACAAATCTTTTAAAAGCTCTTACACATTATGTCACATACATCCTTTAAAATTCATAAAAAACAAACCAATATGTTAAAAGGAAGATCTATAAGCTGCAGTGACCCACATGTACAAGTTTGTTTATTCCACCCTTAAACAAATGATTTCCTCTAATTTAAACTCAGCTTTCAGCCCAGTGTCATGTTGCGTAGATTTTCTGTTAGACTTTTAATTCCTAACTCAGTCATCCCCATCCTCTAACACTCCTCTCATGAACTTGTACCTTTGTTTATTTGAGGTTTGCTTGGACTTACCGCTTTGTTGGGAAATAAAGCCCATTTTCATTTGGAGCTTCACTCATAGGTTCACAGAGGCTGCCTGTTAGCAGTGGTTTCAAAAGCATTAACGTTTATTAATCAAGTAGAAGTATAAACAAAGTATAAATTATGTCTGCTTCTGTCTCAGTCGGCCTCAGCAGATGGCCGCTCACACTGAACCTGGTTCTGCTGGAGGTTTCTTCCTGTTAAAAAGGAGTTTTTCCCCTCCACTGTCGCTACAAGCATGCTTAGTGTGAGGGATTGCTGGTTTTCCTTAGATAGAAAACTTTGAATCAATTTGACCGTATGATCTGGTGAACTGTAAAGTGCCTTAAGATGACGTTTTGTGAATTGGCGCTATAGAAATAAACTGGATTTAATTGAAATAAATCCTACTGCCTCAAAGAAACTTTTGTAGAAGTTAGGATCAACTTAAGCTTTTTAAACTAGTAAAAGTGTGAAAGTACCATTTTAAAAATAGAGGACAAATATTAATGACAGATGCTTTTAACTTCATACTGGTTACTGCTCTACCCTATTAAAGGAACATTTTTCTAAAATTAAGGAGGATAATTTCCCTATACTTAATTTTCCTTAGTTTTTAACTAATGGTCACAATGTCAAATTTAACTGAATCATCTTGAAAAACAATTTATTTTGGAAATTAATTGTCTGGGTCAAATAAATATTAAAATACCAACAGGCCATAACTAAAATGAGCAATGTTTAAAAATGTAAGGAGTAAGGAGTAGAAAGATAATTGCAAAATAATTTAAAGAGTAGAAGTAAAAAATTGTCTAAAAATAATTACTCCATTATAGTAGAGATAGCCAAGTGAGGCTATCTATACTTACCTACTCAGGGTTACTTGAGTAGGTAAGTATAGATAGGTAGTTACCTTAATTGAGTTACCTACTCAAGTACGATAAAGTATTTGTACTTTGTTTCTTTACACCCCTGCCTATTAGGTTTATCACAATGAAATATAATCAATGTACTATAATCTTCTCCTGATTGATACCATTTTATAGTTGGAACTACGAAAAAAGGCATCACAATATAAGCCTTTTATTATAGTCGATATTGAGAATTATTGAATAGTGTTTTATTAAAATAAAGTTTAGGACTTTATTCTCTTAATTTTATGGCTTTTTTCATCGTGATTTTATGACTATTCTCGCTGTGACTTTTCTTGTAATACCGTAAATTCTCTAATATTGGCCTGTATTCCAATAGCGGCCGGGTCTCTAATAATGGCCGGTCTCGCTGTCAGAGGAGGTAAATAATGGCCGG